TCTGCCCTCTCTCCTCTCTCCCTCTCCCTCTCTCCTCTCTCTCCTTCTCTCTCCCCCCTCCCCATCCTCTCTCCCTTCTCTCTTCCCTCTCCTCTGTTCCTCTCTCCCCCTCTCTCCCTTCTCTCTCTACTCTCCTCTGTCCCTCTCTCTCCTCTCTCCATTTTCCCCTCTCTCCCTCTCCCTTTTCTCCCCTTTTCCCCTCTTATCTCCTCTCTCTCTCCTGTCCTCTCTCCTCTCTCCCCCAGTACTGGGTTTGAACCTCATGTTCTTGCTTGAGTTTTGTTTAAGGCTGGCTCTCTACCACTTGAACCACCCCTCTAACTTCCAGCTTTTGCTGGTTAATTGAAGTTTAAGCACCTACTTAGGCTGGTTTAGAACCACAGCCTCCTAAGTAGCTACAGTTATAATCGTGAGCCACCACCAGCACTAACTTTCTAACTTTCTAACTTTCTAACTTTCTGCTTTCTAACTTTCTGACAGATGGTGATTATCCAAGTGTTGGTAGTTTTGCATGGGCTTCGTGTGTGTCCCCTGTAGTATATTACATTGTTGCACACGCTCCCTACCACTGGGGGGTGAGGGAGGGGGAACTCATTGGTGTCAAAAGAAATGACTGAGGAAAAAAAGAAAAAGAGAAGGACTGAATGGAAAAGCAGACAACGCTACAAAGGCTTAGCCATGGGAGGAAATGCTACGGTATGTCTGGAAACTACACACGAAACAGAACGGGAGGAGCACAGCACTGAAACAGGCTGCCAGAGGCTGGGGCTCTCATCAATAGGCCTGTCCCTGCCTGCCCGCCAGTCTGTCCTGCGTAGTTCATCAGAGTTTTACTGCATTGAAATATATTAACCAGTGGCTACCAGGGGACAGCTGTCACTTAAGTATCATCATGGAAGCAGTATTTACTTAGGGGGCCTGGTTAAGTCTGGTTATTTAAAACATTTGATGAGTAAACTAATTAGAGACTCCTTTCAATTTCCATACATTAAATTACTTACCAACTTACCCTGGTCTAAATGCTTTTTCCTATCTTGTTTCTGAATTCTCAGACTCCGAAACAATATAATCCAAATCCCTGAACTTTTACTTTCCCAGAAGTGCTGGAATGTTCTGGCTTTCAATTCTTTCTGTCGGGGTTCAAGAGCAGCCTCACACTTTACTAGCAATTTGAGGAAATTGCCTCATCTTTTTCTTCCTGAGGTTTTGTTTTTTTTTTCCATCTGAGAATGATTATAATACCTACTTTTTAAGAGTTTTCTAAGAATAAGGAAAGGGGGCTGTGTAGAGCAAGTTAGAACGCCTGCTCAGTAGGCATGAGGCTGGGAGTTCAGCCCACAAAAGTAAAACAAACAAACAAACAAAAGGCTGGGTGCCAGTCTTACACTGTAATCCTACACTGTAATTCCTAATCAGGAAGTTGAGATCTAAGGATCTCGATTCAAAGCCAGCCCAGGCAGGAAAATCTGTGAGATATTTATCATCAAATAACTAGCAAAAAGCCAGAAGTGGAGCTGTGGCTCAAGTGGTAAAGCACTAACTTTGAGAGGAAAAAAAAAAAAAAGCCCACGAACATCACCCAGTCCCTGAGTTCAAGGCCCAAGACAATCATAAAAAATAATAATAATAAAAGTCCAAGAGCCCCTGATCTTATGTAAGCCCCAACTAAAGACCTGGTCCAAAATGCTGAGCCAGAGAGGGGCCAGTTTTCACCCTGCTGAGCACTGCTGAAAATTCCTCCTGACTGTGCACCCAGCTCTTTCTCACATCCCCAAACTGAGCTGGGTTTGAGCACCTAAGAGTCCAAAAGACTCTGCTCTCAGCACAGTTTAAAATGTTATTAAGAGCCAGGCCCTGGTGGCTCACACTGGCAATCCCACTAAGTGAGGCTAAGATCTGAGGATCAATGTTTAAAGTCAGCCCAGGTGGGCAAATCCATGAAACTCTTATCTCCAATTAATTAACAAAAAGTCAGAAATGGAGGTGTGGCTTACGTAGTAGAGTAGTACTCTGAAGATGTTTCCGTCAGGGATTATTATCCTGTGCAAGATGTTAATTATTTATTTATTTATTATTTTTTATTTGCCACTCCTGGGGCTTGAACTCTGAGCCTAGATGCTGTCCCTAAGCTTCTTTTGCTCAAAGCTAGCACTCTATCACTGGAGTCACAGCACTACTTCTGGCTTTTTCTGAGTAGTTTATTGGTGATGAGTCTCATGCACTTTCCTGCTCGCGCTGGCTTTGAACCATAATTCTCAAATCTCAGTCTTTGAATACCTAGGAGTACAGGCATGAGCCACAAGTGCCCAGCCTAAATATTTATTTTTTAAAAAGCACAAATCTGAATGGTACCACTGAATGGTCTTATAAAGCAGTGAACCCAGAAGGAATATTGTCTTAATATAAATTAATGTTAAAGGTGCTTATTAAATAAGTGTTGATGGACAAGATTTTTCTTCCTTTTTAACGTTTCTAGGTTTCTATGTGAAATCCCTTCTGACATCCTTTGTGTGTGTGTGTGTGTGTGTGTGTGTGTGTGTGTGTGTGTGTAGATGTGTGTGAAAACTCATGACAATAGCCTTACCCTTTCATGATGATGAAAATTAGACCAGAAAGAAACTCTGTTGTGATCTTAAGGAAAGATTTTAGAATGTCTTTCTTTGTTAGATTTTCTTTCTTCACTTTTAAGACTTTTATACAACCATTCTAAGTGCTCTTCTGTGATTAATTGGAGATAAGACTCTCACAGACTTTCCTGCTCAGGCTGGCTTCAAAATGCTATCCTCAGATCTCAGCCTCCTGAGTAGCAAGGATTTCAGATGTGAGCCTCCAGAGCATGTCTATTTCCTTCCTTTTTTCAGACTGAAAAATATTAAAGTGTATATAGGCCATATTTTGTTTATCCATTCAGCTATGAATAGACACCTACATTGCTTTCACTTCTTGACTACTATGAAGATGCTATGAGCATGAAAATGTAGTTATCTCTTTGAGAATCAAGTTTCATTGATTTGAATCCCTTACAAGTTAATTACTGAATCATATGATAGAACAAAAATTTTCCATTTTCTGGAATCTGTTTTGATAAATAGCATTTTAAATGTTCAGAGGAGTTATGTCCTTGGGCTCCTCCCCTAAAGGTATCCTCCTTTAGTCTGACTGTGTGTAAATATGTGGACTCCGATATAATGTATCATGTCCTGATGCATTTTAGATCTAGGTTCCATATGTGAGAGAAAGCATGTACCATTAGTCTCCCTGAGCTTGCTTTATCTCAGCATGATTTATTCTAAGTTTATCCATTCTCTGCAAATTACATAATATTATTCCTTCTAATGGATGAATAAAGTTCCATTGTGTATACGTACCCCATTTTTTATCCACTCATCCATTGTAGGGCATCTGGGCTGTTTCCATAATTTGGCTATTGTAAATAGTGCAGCAATGAACATGGATGTGCAAGTGTCTTTATGGTATCCTGGCTTATAATGTTTTGGCTGGCTCCTACAGTAGATCTTAGGTTCAGTTTCTTGAGGAACGTCTAAACCTCCTTCCAGAGTTGTTGTGCTAGTTTGCATTCCCACCAACAGTGCAGTAGTGTTCCTTTTCCCCCACATCCCCACCAGCATTTGTTGTTATTCAATTCTTGATCTTGCCCAGTCTTACTGAGATGAAAAAGAATCTCAAACTTGGTTTGATTTGCATTTCCTTTATGGAAAGAGATGTTGAGTATTTCCTCATGTGTCTATTTACCCTTCTTAATTCTTTTACTGAGAAGTCTCTCTTTAGCTCTATTGCCCTATTGATTGGTTTATTAGTTTGGGAAGGGGTATGATTTTTTGAGTTGCAATAGTTGTACTTTTATGCACTCATTTTGCATGTTTGTTGTCCTAACAAATAAGTATTTCCAAGTTAACATAATGAACCAAGGCACATATAAAACATAGAAAGACATGATTGAGGTAGATTTCCTGCCCTTAAACAATTCTCAGCCTAACAGTCAAGACAGACATCTGAATAAGTAAATATCTAGTAGAAGAATATACAGCACAGAACAAAAAAAGAATATACAGCACAGAGGAAAGAATTGGGAAGAAAATAAAGGCTAGTGTCATGAAACAGAATAGTGGGTTCCAACACTCCCGGGATAGTTCTGACATGTGGAAGTATGATATACAGGAAAGATGAAAACCGGCTGCCAAAGGTGAAGTCTGGTCTTCAAGCAGAGGCCAAACTGAAGGTTCTTTTATATCATGTTAAAACACTCCCATTTTATATAGTATGCAGTGCAATCCATTAAAAGACTAATTTTAAGTTTTTGTAGAATTAGTGCATTGTTTTAAAAAGAAGTTTAAGTTACTAGGAGTTTAAGTAACTCCTAGTCATAGGAGTTTGTTCCATCTTATTGGATGCTTTTTCGGTTCCTTTGTCTCAAATTCAAGGTTAATAGTCCAGATTCTAAAAAGAGTAAAGTGACATGAATGACGGCATGGTTGCCACGGAACACAGCAGGACTGGGATGTTTAACATTCATACAGACATTTAGCTGTCTCTTCAAAACCCAGGATTATTCTCTTTGCTTTTCTATTCATAAGGATGATTAGAAGTAGAACATTAACTCCAAAAGAGGATGCAAATTAAAGGACATGGATTCATCCTAGTTTGGGTAACTCTTGTTGACTGCTCTATTTTAGTTTAAGTTGGTCTGAATGCACACAGATGGTGGATTTCTGTTCCAATGTATGTGTATTAATGTGATGGGAGACAACATTTCCTTGGACTCTTCTTCCTGTGTTCCTAACCAACTTCCTAAGTTTAGGCAATCAGCATCAGGTCAATCTCCAGCATGAAAAAATGACAAAAAGAAAAGACATGATAAAATTATACATCTACCAGTTCATAAGATTACCCTTGCTTTTTTCTGAAATAAGTTTAGGAAATACATAACATGTTAGTGCAATGTATAAGTATGAAAATATCCTTCACTTTTGATATTTCAGCTTCATCAAACCCAGAAGTCATCAAGATCAATTCAATTTTGGATATAGCAACAAAAGTGGAAGACTATTATCTTAAAGGATATATCGTTGGGGCCATTCATCCTATTATACAACCTGTGGGACCCCGAAAACACCTACCAGCAAGTTACCTTTACAGGGTGGTTTTATCACGCTCAAAACTAAGGTACGCATAGTTTGGCAAGAAATTAGTTATTGTGGCTCACCCCTCTAATCCTAGCTACTCAGAACACTGAGATCTGAGGACCACAGTTCAAAGTCAGCCTGGGCAGGAAAGTCTGTGAGACTCATTTCCAATTAGCCATCAGAAAAGCAGAAGTGATTCTGTGGCTCAAAGTAGTAGAGTACTAACCTTGAGTTGAAAAAGCTCTAGGACAGTGCCCAGACCTTGAGTTCAAGCCCCACCACTGGCTTAAAAAAAAAAAAAAAAGATTACATTTCTTTTTGAACAATGTTACCCCTTCCCTCACACTCTCCCAGTTTTTCCCTCTTAATTTTATTTTTTTATTTTACTTTATTTTTGATGCCAGTGGTTTGAACTCAGGACCTCGTGTACTTGCCTGGGTTTTGCCGGGGGGTTGGAGAGGGGAGTGGTTTTTTTGTTTTTGTTTTTGTTGGTTGTGGGGCTTGAATTCTGGGCTTGGGTGCTGTCCCTCAGCTCTTCCGCTCAAGGAGAGTGCTCTACCACTTGAACCACAGCGCCACTTTTGGTTTTCTGGAGGTTTATTGGAGATAAGAGTTTCACGGACTTTCCTGCCCCAGCTGGCTTTGAACTGTGATCCTCAGATCTCAGCCTCCTGAGTAGGTAGGATTACAGGTGTGAGCTGCCAACGCCCAGCTTTGCCTGGATTTTTATGCTCAAGGCTTGGGCTCTACCTCTTGAGCCATATCTATGCCCCCAGCTTTTTACTGGTTAGTTAGAGATAGGAGTGTAATGGACTTTTCTGCCTGGACTGGCTTTAAACTATGATCCATGGGTCTCAACCTCCTGAGGAGTGAGAATTACAGGTATGAGCCAAAGGCACCAGTCTAAAATATGTTTGAAAGATACTTTTTTCAAATTATGCAACCATTTTTGTCAAAGTTGCAAATTTGACTTTTTTTCCCCCGTACTAGGCACTGTCCCTGAGCTTTTTTGCTCAAGGCTAGTGCTGTACACACTTGAGCTACAGCTCTACTTCCTGCTTTTTTGGTAGTTTATTGGAGATAGGAATCTCACAGACGTTCCTGCTGGGTACAACTTTGAACCATAATCCTCAGATCTCAGCCTCCTGAATAGCTAAGATTACAGATGTAAGCCACTGGTGCCTGGAAATGATTTTTTTTAATTTAATAGTAAGATACTTCAATGAAGGATGAAAATAGTTGGACTCACATCTGTAATACAAGAGTCACAATTCAAAGACAACCTGGGCAGAAAAGTCTGTGAGACTCTTCTCCAATTAACCAGCAAAGAGCCAGAAATGGAGCTGTGGGCTGGGGGCCAGTGGCTCATGCCTGTAATCCTAGCTACTCAGGAGACCTGAGTCTGAAGATCAGGGTTCAAAGCCAGCCCAGCCAGCATAGTCCCTGAGGCTCTTATCTCTAATAACCCAGCAGAAAACCGGATGTGGCGCTATGGCTCAAGTGGTAGAGCACTAGCCTTGAGCTAAAAAGCTAAGGAACAGTGCCCAGGCCCTTAGTTCAAGCTCCAAGACTTATGTAAAGCATTTCTTATAACTTTTATTAAAGCAACAAATATAAAGCTTTTCTTTCAGTTTAAATTATCAATTTCTAGAAGTTTAAATCAAGGACATTTAAACTAATCAAAGTCACAAAGATAGTCCTCAGAGTTGAAAGAACAAAAAAGATTGTCTTAAACTTGTTCACTCATCTTCACATGAAGGAAATAGCTGGTCTTCAGCAATTGACCTCCAATCATGAATAACTTTTCTCTGTTACAGCCCAAAGCACTCAGCAGCATCCAGTGGACAAAGACGCCCAAGACTTGTGATTGAGGAATGTCCTCTAACTTACGAGACACAAACAAATGACATAGCGAAAGAACTGATAGAAAAGGTACTACATATAAGTACATTTTTCATGGGATTTTGAGAAGCATTTGATATTTCTTCTTTACCCATTTCTTTCCTTATTTTAAAAAGAACAGGGCCACTGGGCACCGTTGGTTCACGCCTGTAATCTACTCAGGAGGCTGAGATCTGAGGATCATGGTTCAAAGCCAGCCCGGGCAGGAAAGTCTGTGAGACTCTTATCTCCAATAAAAACCACTAGAAAGCCAGAAGTGGCATTGTAGCTCAAGTGGTAGAGTGCTCGCCTTGAGCTGAAGAGCTGAGGGACAGCGCCCAAGCCCAGAATTCAAGCCCCATTACCGACAAAAAAAAAACCCAAAAAAACAAAAAATAAAAATAAAAAGAAAGGGCCTCACAAGACACTGTGTTAAAAATGAACTATACAACTTGTAGGTGAGGATGGGAGGGGAAAACTGGGAGAGAGCAAGAGAAGGGGTGAGATTGTCTAAAAAGAAATGCACATATTACCTGGCTTATGTAACTGTATCCCCTCCGTATATAGCCTTTATCACAACAACAAAAAATAAGAAAGAAAGAAAAAGAAAAAGAATACAGTGTGTACCTTGGTGCATGCCTGTAATCTGAGCTATTTAAAAGGCTGAGATCATAGAGTCCTGGTTCAAATCCTACCCAGGCTCAGTTCAAGAGACTCTGATATCCAATTAATCACCAAAATGCCAAAAGTGAAGTTGTAGTGTAGCCTGAATTTAAATCTCAGTCCTGGCACAAAGGAGAGAGAGAGACAGAGAGAGAGAGAGAGAGAGAATATTCAGGGTTTGTACCAAATTATACAGAGTTTAAAACATAAAATGAGGAACAACGAAACAGAGAAGACATATCAGAAAAAAAAAAGTTCAGTCACATGGAAGGGCTGGAGGCGTGGAACAAGTGCTAAAGTCCTGCCTAACGAACAGGAGGCCCTGAGTTTAAACCCAGTACTACTACAATAATAACAATAATAATACTAATAATAATAGGACAACATGAGGTAGCTCCAGTCTATATCCCAGCAATCAAAATGATTGAGGTTCTATGTCAGCTTGGGCAAAAATTTAATGAGATACCATCTCAACCAACAGCTGACTATTATAGTTCATACCTATAATCTCATAAACAGGAGGATGATAATCTAGATCAGCCACAGCAAAAAGATGAGACCCTTAGCTCAAAGGATTAAAGAACAAAAGGGGCAAGAGTATGGCTTAAGAGGAGAAGTGCCTAAGTGCCAGGCCCTGAGCTCAAACCCCACACTGACACACACAAAAATATTTTTTTGTTTGAAGGGAAATCTGCAATAAATGTGTCCTATGGGAGCCCCATTTTCAAAATATATAGGAAATGAGTATAAATGAAAGTGATATCTTGTCTCTTTGTTGTGGTTGTTGTTGTTTTGGGTATTTATTTATTTATTTATTGGTCGTGGGGCCTGAACTCTGGGCCTGGGCGCTGTCCCTCAGCTCTTCAGCTCAAGGCTAGCGCTCTACCACTTAAACCACAGCACCACTTCCAGCTTTTTCTGTTTATGTGGCACTGAGGAATTGAACCCAGGGCTTCATGCATGCAAGGCAAGCACTCTACCACTAAGCCACCTTCCCAGCCCTCCTGTCTCGTGTGTGTGTGTGTGTGTGTGTGTGTGTGTGTGTGTGCGCATGTGTGCACGTGTGTGCGTGCGCTTGTGTGTGTGTGCGCGCGCACATGTGTGTGCACCTGTCCTAGGGCTTGAACTCAGGGCCTGGGCTCTGTCTCTGAGCTTTTCTGTTCAAAGCTAGCATGACCAATTGAGCCATAGCTCCACTTCAGGTTTTTTGATGGTTAATCGGAATCTCAGGGGCTTTCCTGCCCAGGCTGGCTTCAAACAGAAATCCTCAGATCTCAACCTCCCAAGTAGTTAGGATTACAGGTGTGACCCACCAGTGCTTGGCCAGATACCCTTTATTTTTCCAGTCCTGGTGCTTGAACTCAGGGCCTGGGCACTGTCCCTGAGATTCTTTTGCTCAAAGCTAGCACTCTACCACTTGAACCACAGCACCACTTCCAGATTTTTCTGTTTATGTGGTACTGAGGAACTGAACCCAGGGCTTCATGCTTGCCAAGACATGGTAATTCCACCTGTAATTCCAGCTCTAAGGAGACTGAGGCAGGAGAAGGATCTCTAGTTCAAGGGCAGCCTGGACTAAAATTAAGACCCTGTCTTAAAACAAAAATAAAGAATAAAATAAAAAGTTGTGAAACTTGTTCATTGTTGCTGTCAAGCTTTATAGAACCATGTGTGCACGATTAACTGTGGTTTTTATACAGCCAGTCCAAGCAGTTAATAATATTTAAGTTTAAAGCCAGCATTCAATAAGCGCCTTTAGAAAGGGTCTTTGAGACTAGATTTGTATAAACAAAATACACATACTGTTTACTACTACTATTCTGGGAAATGTTTTTCTGGGAATAAATCCACCCCAGACATCTTCTTTTGCAAACTAAAATACAGCTACTAATTTAGCCTAACTAAATAGCCCTCGGAGTCTTTATTTTGTAGTTGGCTTCCTGGATACAGTTAAAGCTCTGCCTCAACAGGAAAGAATTGTTATTTCAGCAATTAGAGGAATGGGGTTATCTTATGAAGAGAAAAGGAAACAGCACATAAAATCTGAACCTTACCCTGGTGTGAATAAGAGCAATAGATGAATGCCAAATATTATTTTTGAGGGGCTGCCTAGTGTAAAGAGGGTTTTGTTGTTGTTTTGTTTCGTGTGTGTGTGTGTGTGTGTGTGTGTGTGTTAGTGACAGTACTGGAGCTTGAATTCAGGCCCTCATGTCCTTGCTTGGCTTTTTCATTCAAGGCTGCTCTACCACGTAAGCCATGGCTCCACCTCCAGCCTTTACTGGTTAATTGGAGAGAAAAATCTCACAAATGTGTCTTTCCAAATGTGTCTTCCCTCTCTGGCTTTGAGCTACGATCATCAGATCTCAGCCTCCTGAGTAGTTAGGATTACAGAAGTGAGTCACTGGTGTCTGGCTGGGCATTGCTCTTGATTTTTCTTCAGTTCTTCCTGGCATTTTTTTTTCATTCTAACTATAGATGTTTCCAATTACAACTTCCATCATAACTCTCTCTTACTACCCCAGGTAACATTTAAAATATTTAACTGAGCCAGGTGCTTGTGGCTTACACCTGTAATTCTAGCTACTCAGGAGGCTGAGATCTGAGGATCATGGTTCAAAGCCAATCCAGGCAGGAAAACCATGAGACATTTATCTCCAATTGACCACCAGAAAACTGGAAGTGGTAAAACTCTAGCCGTAAGCAAAGGAACTTCAGGGGCAGCACCAGACCATGAGTTCAAGCCCACAACTGACCAAAAATAAAAAATAAAATACTTAATTGAAATAGTTCAAAGAGCAACCATATAGAAAACATTACTACTTCTTCATTTTAAATTATTTAACAAATACTTGTAGATCACCTATAATTGGAAGTGCTACAATATGCAAGAGCAGTTCCTGCCCTAAAAAGATCCACCAACTGAACACAGAAAAAAAGAATTACATACAGCGTGCTGGTGGATTACACCTGTAATCCTAACTATTCAGGAGGCTGAGATCTGAGGACTGCAGTTCAAAGCCAACCAGGCAGGAAAGTCTGTGAGACTCTTAACTCGAATTAGCCACCTGAAAACCAGAAGCGGCACTGTAGCTTGAGTGGCAGAGTGCTTGCCTTGAGCTGAAGAGCTGAGGGACAGCACCCAGGCCCAGAGTTCAAGCCCCATCACACACACACACACACACACACACACACACACACACACACACACACGAATTACACATAAATAGAATTTTTAAATAAGGCAGAAACAGAGAAGAAAATACATTAAATTTACAAATTTACAGTCTACATTCAAAGAAACCTAAATCTTACAAATAAATCAATGCTAAAAGTGATGAATATAAAAATAATCACTTTAAGAGAATTTGTTTCAAGGGATAGAGCACTTGCCTAGCAAGTTCTAGGATTGAGTTCAAACTCAAAAATGAGAGAGCCGGGAGCTAGTGGCTCACGCCTGTAATCTTAGTAACTCAGGAGGCTGAGATCTGAGGATTAAAATTCAAAGTCCATGGGGCAGAAATATCCTTGAGACTCTTATCTCCAAGGGAAGGCAAGAAGGAGAGAGGGAAAGAGAAAATAACCACTCTTAAGATATTCTTGGCCAGGCGCTGGTGGCTCACACCTGTAATCCTAGCTACTCAGGAGGCTGAGATCTGAGGATTGAAGTTCAAAGCCAGCCGGGGCAGGAAAGTCTCTTATCTCTTATCTCCAATAAACCACCAGAAAACCAGAAGTGGCACTGTAGCTCAAGTGGTAGAGCACTGGCCTTGAGCTGAAGAGATGAGGGACAGCACCCAGGCCCAGAGTTCAAGCCCCACGACCACCAAAAAAAAAAAAGAAAAACAAGATATTCTTTAGATATTTCTCTGGCATTATATCATCTGTTAACACAATTTCTATTCTTTTTAATCAACAGGATTGAATTTATTATATGTATCTTAGACCAGATAAAAGACATCAATATTAAGTTGAAATATATAAAGATCAGAAAGTTTCATTGGAACTGTGCTATGAATTAAGCTTATGTTTTATATACACATCTACAAAAATTAGTCTTTGATATTTTCTCTATCAACATCAAGCAAATAATGCTCTGTATGCTTTCAGGGGTTTTTTGTTTTTATATTTTTCCTTTTTGTTTTTCCAACTGAGACTGGGACTCCAACTCTCTATCTGATGCTTTGTAGTCATTGACAGGTGCCGTACCACCTGAGCCATACCTCCAACCCCTGTGTTTTTGCAGTTAAGTCAATGTCTCCTCTAATCATGAAGATGTATACGTTAGTGTTATTTTGGAGGCTTTCTATAATAGTTCTTAACTTTGCTCCAACTGGAAAGATCATTGCTTCAAAAATCATGTATAAAATTCCAAATTCTTCCCAAAAGAAGCTTCCTAGAAAAAACAATGATTGCTGTTTTTATAATTTCTGAAGTATATTCTTTCTCTTAAAGTCCAGTATTATTTTTTAGGTGACTAATTAGTTCATGGATGTGTCCTTAGTTACTGGTCAATTCACTCTCTCCTAATAGTTTCCTCAATAAAGCTAAAATTTAACTGATAAATTAACCTACCTAAATGGAGTGAACATTCTGTTCTGCCATCTCTCTGTAAACCTCAGATTAATGTTGCTGCTAAAAGAGGAATGAGATTTGTTGGATTTATATCCCAGCATTCTTCACCATCTAAATGCTGTAATGGGACCAGCCATGATGGAGACATAGAACCAATGCTGCGTGTGAGACACAGTCCGGATGAAAACTGCAGAAGTTGGAATGAAGGAACCTTAAGCAGGCAATCATCTAAAAGCAGAATTGAAGAAGACCCTCATCACGAAAGCCTACAGTGTCAAATTGAACAAAATGGCAGCCCCAGCTCCCCTAAACCCAAAACTGGAGAAGGTAATGGTCAAGATAAATAGAATATATTCTTAGATTAAGTTTAGCCAAATGCACTTTCTGGAAGTTTTCGAAAGGAAATTTGAGGCCAAGTAAATTTCTAAAGAGGATAAAGTCTAAATGAACTAACATAAACTTGTGATTTTTTTAAAACAATTCTTGTATCTGGAAATATTGCAAAGCAGTGATTCAGACCTTATGTCTCTCTAACTGGTCCTGTAACTTTGTGCTGAAGATCAGTTTCTAAAACTCCCTTCCTGAATAGAGAGTTGTGCATGTGCCAAAAAACTGAATTGATGACAAGGAAAGCTGTTGTAATTTATGTTTGTCCTTATAAACAGTGTGGGAGAATTCTAGTTTGGGCCTTGTCCATTTCATAGATGATTTTCACCTCTGAAATTAATTGATTTTCATTCATCGTCAACTAGAATATGAAAATAGCACACATGATGAAACAATTTTTATAACAATAGTCCTGCAACCTAAAATAACTTTTAACAATTGTTTTGTTCTTCTTTGCCAACTAGCAAGTTTTCCCATGAAATTGAAATTATTTGTTGACTGTTCAAGGTTTTCTGATACCTTTACAGGCATGCTTTATGAAAAGCACTTCCAAAGAAAATCGAAGCTGTCATACAGCTTTTAACAGCACAGGCTCTGGAGTTTAATGATGCTTCCTTTTCTTTATACATGAAAGGTAATTGTAGGACTTCCCTCACAGAGTTCTGGTGGAAAGTAAATAAAAGAGTTCTAGAGTGTCCAATGCCTGGCAGAAATAAGCTCTAGAAAGCTAATTGCTATTAACTGAGCCTTTGATCCTACATCCTGTGCAAGACAGAGATCCACCTGACCATATGAGCACGATCTCCTGAAGGAAGAATATTTCCAACTCATCATCTGGACCTCACCACCACACTCCCGCGTCACCAGTTCCTTAACTAACAACTGCCCTGGTTTTTCTGTGATGTGAAAATCATTTTTTAAAAAAAGTAAGAGTGAGCAATAGTTACTAGAGTGGTAATCAAAGAGCTATTCTCTATATTCTATTCAGATCTACCTTCAAACTCTACGCTGGTTTCCCCCTTGAGTTTCACCAAATGGGGTGTCTACTTCTAGTCTTTTAAGTCCTAAGTTCAATATGCTACTTAGTTACATACTTCCTAATAACTGTTGTATTATGGTCACTCTTGAATAAAGAAGAGGATCATGGAAATATGTACAAGACCTGATGGAGTATCTAGTAAAACTGTGAATCCAAATACTTTGTCTGTAATACAAGTGAGATTAAACTTCCTAGCCGGGTACTGGTGACTCATCCCCTGTAATCCTAGCTACTTGGAGGCTGAGATTTGAGGATCACAGTTCAAAGCTATTTCAGTAGGACAAGAAAAATGTTTGTTACAACAGACAATGGAAGCAATGTGTATGTCCATCAAAAGGGAGAAGTTAGTTGAAATACAATGTAAAACTAACTAAATAAAAACTATATAGATATTTACATTTCAAGGGCAAAATGTTGAATTTTTAAAATCAATTATAGGACTAGGGTATTGTTTAACAGTAGAGTAGATCACTTAGCATGCATGTCTCCCTGGGTTCAATCCCAACACCACATATACACACATACCAAAAAAATGTATAGATTAACATAGAACAGTATAATAGTATTGAAATTTAAAATTTTTAACTGAAAAACAGGTGTATGATGTTTTTAGATTACATAGACTTATAAATAAGCGTTGAAAAATAAAAGCTTTCAGGAAAATGATAAACACCACATTCATTGCTGTAGCTATTTCTGGAGATAGAATCAGCAACTACATACTACTACATACATGCCACATAGTAGCCTCAGTGTGTCCATGTCTTGAAGCTAATATGGCATGCTAACATTTGGTTAAGTGAATGGCAAGTGCTTTTACTATTCTCTGTTCTTCTTTGTATGCTTGAAATATCTCATGATTAATTTTTTTAACTTTTAAGAATCTTTAATGAGGGGGGGGAGAGGGAGAGGGAGAGGGGCTGGGAAGGTGGCTCAGTGGTAGAGCGCTTGCCTTGCATGCATGAGGCCTAGGGTTCGACTCCTCAGCACCACATAAGCAGAAAAAGCCGGAAGTGTCTCTGTAGCTCAAGAGGAAGTGTCTCTGTAGCTCAAGTGGTAGAGCTCTAGCCTTTAGCTGAAGCGTTGAGAGACAACACCCAGGCCCAGAGTTCAGGCCCCACAACCAGAAAAAAAGAGAGATATCTTGTATTCCAGGGACCAGTGGCTCATGCCTATAATCCTAGCTACTCAGGAAAATGAGATCTAAGGATTGCAATTCGAAGCCAGCCCAAGCAGGAAAGTCCATGAGACATTTATCTCCAATGAATCTCACAGAAAGCTGGAAGTGGAGCTCTGGTTCAAATGGTAGAGAGCACTAGCCTTGAGCAAAAGAAGCTCAAGGACAGAGCCCAGCCTAGAGTTCAAGCCCTAGGACCAGAAAATAAAGAAAAAAAGAGGGCTGGGAATGTGGATCAGTAGTAGAGTGCCTGCCCAGCATCAATGAAGCCCTGGGTTCTATTCCTCAGTAGCACAAAAACAGAAAAAGCCTTGAGCACTGGGAGGCTCAGGGACAGAGCCCAGGCCCAGAGGTCAAGCCCCAGGACCAGCAAAAAAAGAAAGGGGAGGGGGAGAGGAAGAGAGGGAGAGGGATGGGAAGAAAAGAAAGAAATCTTGTAAAGATTGTTGGTGGCAGAGCCAGGAGTCTAAACTCAGGTGTATCCCTTTGCCTCTAGTGCCCTTATCTGAATAAGTTTTGTTTCTCTCACCCAGGGAGAGGGCCTAGATCTGAGGGAGAGAACAGAGGGAGGGAGGGTCAGGAATTCAAATTGGTAGGGTGGGTACTGTGGGGGGAAGGGTAGGGGAGTGGCAAGCAGTGGCTTTGGCAGCTGAGCTGTTCTCTGCAGAGATGCACTTCGAAGGAGGACCAGAGCAGGTACAGACCTGCTGAGTCAGATGCCCAAGGGACTTCAGGTGGAGATATTTTGGAGGTGGATGGGGGCTGGGGCTACAGAAAGCACCCCAAGGTAGCTAGCCAGGAAGTAGGCCTAGGGGCTTGAAGGCTCACCCCAGAAGTCTTAGGATTTAAGGAGAAAGAGGCCTCAGACAGGGCAGAGGGTCACATTTTCCAGAAGGAGGGAGTGGTCAGAAAAAATAAAAAATAAAAAAAAAAAAGAATCTTTAATGAAGCTGGGCACGGTAGTTCAGTCCTGTAATGCTAGCTACTCAGGAGGGAGCAATCAAGAGGATGATAATTCAAGGCCATCCAGGGCAAAAAAAAGTTCTTGAGAGCCCATCTCAACTAACAGAATAGGTGGACAGTGTGTGGTAGAATATGCACGTCTTCCCAGACCTTCAGGAAACATAATAGGAGGAAAACAGTTCATAGCAACATGGGCACAAATACGAGACCCCATTTTCAAAATAACTAAAGCAAAAAGAGCTGGGAGCATGGGTGAAGTAGTAATGTATCTGCCTGGAAAAAATTCAGTACCACCAAAAACAAGAATCTTTTATTAATAGAATTATAATTATCCCCTTTCCTCCCTCTGAATGCCTCTCTCCAGATAACAAGTTGTATACAGTCTTCAATGTTTTTGATGATGACTCGACCTGCTGGACCTATCAGGAAGGCATCCTGTCAATGAAAATAACAAGAAAAGGATCCATCATCAGTACACTTGATGCTGATTGGCTAGAATTAACTACCTTTTATTATAAGCAAGGCTTGTCTCTAACTGATTCTTTTGTATCCTGGGAGACCTCTAAAGGTACATTTCATGTTAATGATATATTTATATCTAACGAATGTGGACTTGCCAGGAGCTGGTGGCTCACACCTATAATCCTAACTACTCAGGAGGCTGAGATCTGAGGATTGCGTTCAAAGCCAGCCCAGGCAAGAAAGTCCGTAAGACTCTTATCTCCAATTAACCACCAGAAAGCTGGAAGTGGCGCTGTGGCTCAAAGTGGTAGAGTGCTTTCCTTGAGCTGAAGAGCTGAGGGACAGCGCCCAGGCCCAGAGTTCAAGCCCCATGACAGACAAAAAAAAAAAAAGGGCATGGGGACTTTGTCAAAGCTGGTAAAAATGATTTTGCCTCTAGAGTTTCATGGCTGAAAGGACAGATATTACTCCAAGGAAATAGATTCAACTTGTCACACAGCTGTGTCACTTTGGTTTAAAGTTTACCCACAGTGAGATCAACTGGACACCAGTGTGTACTCTAGACTTGCTATGTAATGTTTGCTGTTGGATTGGAACCTTCGGGACCCACTGTGGGATTAACTAGAAGGGTTTCTCAAATACAACATGCTAGAGTACTGCAACAAGGAAGTTCATGTTGGCATTTCACAACTAATGCTCACGTTTATCATATTATCCCAAGTTTTGTACATTATCATGTCCTACTGAGTATATAACTAATACATACCTGACTCGACAGTTTGTATAGAATTCTAGGCAATCTTAATTCTTTCAGAGAAGATCTTGATCCTGTATTTACTTTGGTTTCTCTTTATTAACCTGCCCTGGCATTTCTCATTTAGATACATTGGAGTAGAGACGCATTAGTGTCTGTTGCAAAAATGATGAAACATTTTCCCAAATAAACCTGAGTTCAAGCCCCATGATCAACAAGAAAGAAAGAAAGAAAGAAAGAAAGAAAGAAAGAAAGAAAGAAAGAAAGAAAGAAAGAAAGAAAGAAAGAAAGAAAGTTGGTTCAGATATGGTGATACATGCTTGTAATCTCAGCATTCAGAAGGCTGAAGCAGGAGGATCACGACGCTAAGGCCACACTGAGCCATAATCCTATCTTTAAAAAAGAAAAAGAAAACAAAGGAGAAAGAGAGGGAAGGAGGAAGTGAAGGAGGGAAAGTGAATTAAAGAGGAGGAAGAGAAAAAAAGAGGAGGAAGAGAGAGAAAATAATAAGAAAAGGAAGAAGAAGAACAAGGAGGAAGAAGGAGAGAAAGAAGGGGAAAAGGAGGAATCCCACTGTATCTAGACTCAGGATTTGTTTATTTCTGGTGTTAGTTTTGTTTCCCACCACTGCAGCTTGGTAGTTTTAGAGAACATCTAGTTGGATATTAGCTCTCTCTCTGTTTCTCTCTCTCCCTGCCTCCCTCCCTCCCCAGCCCCTCCCTCCTCTCTCTCTCTCCTCTCTTCTCCACTCCCCAGAAAAGTTAAACTTGGATTCATTTCAATTTTTGGTCTGTAATGAACTGCCTAAGGAAAAGCATCTTTTCACCATCTCTCAGGCATCCCCGCCTTGAGCCATGCCTGATGAAAATAAAATTAGCCACAGCAGCTACCAGCCAGAGACACTGTGAGGCTTTTGTTCTTCCAGCTTTAGAACTACTGAGAAAGCCCTGGAGAGGCTCTCCGTCTCTCCTCCACCCTGGAATGCCTCATTAGACATTTTACATTGCTGACCAACCATGCCAAGCCCCCACTGAGCCACCTCAGGCTGTGGGGTCTTGCCACTGGGTGTGTCCTTTGGGACTTCCCCAGGAGAATGCGAGGAAATAGTGAGCAATGTCTGTGTGGCTGAGAGAAGTGAGTCCGAGGAAACAGGGCTGAATTGGTTGCTTTGTTCTGAGATGCTGGATGCTTGACATCTAAAGCACATGAGGAGACAATGCATATGTTGTTCTGTCTTGCTTTTGTCCTCATCCCAAATACCCCCAAGAGATATGGCAGTACAAAACCTGACTTGACATTGCTCAGAAATTTAAATATAGTACATCACAAATCACATCGAATAAAATACTTTCGCAAAGAAACAGAGAGAGAGGTAGTAAAGAACTTCTTTTCTAAAGTACCTACTTCATCAAGGTCCTGGAGGACAGGTTATAAGATCTGGGAACCTCCCCTTCTCACTCAGTAGTCTTTCCTGGATTTTTGTTGTTGTTTTTGGTTTGGGTTTTGTTTAGTTTTGTTGTTTGTTTTTTTTTCTGCCAGTACTAGGGCCTGAACTCAAAACCTGGCACTGTCCCTGAACTTTTTTGTTCAAGGCTAGCACTCTACCATTTGAGCCACAGCTCCACTTCTGGCTTTTGGGTGGTTAATTGGAGATAAGAATCTTGTGGACTTTCCTGCTGGGCTGACTTTGAATTGTGATCCTCAGATCTCAGCTTCCTGAGTAGCTAGGATTGCAGACATGAGTGCCTAGCTGACTCTTGTGTTTTTAAAAGCTCCTGAAAACACACACACACGCACGCACACACACATATGCATATACATTGAGGTTCCTATACTTCATCTGCAAACAAAACAATCCTCCTTTAGTCTGCCACAATGTAAAGCTATATTTTGATTATTTATTATTTTCAGATTTCTTCACTTGATACTCATTTCAGATCATCTCAGTGAGGTGGGATAGAGTAAAGACGTTGAATCCTGTATGTCTTCATCACCCAGAGAGATATGCATGTGACAGGCCCTATGCCAGGCACATGGTTTACTGTCAGGGAGTCAGCATGTGGCTTCAGGGCATCCGACTATGAAGATGTCAAAATGTATATATGTAATTTCAAAATTAACAAAAGTGTTGTGGCCATATATGGTGGCTCATGCCCATAATATGATTAATCTCCTTTTACATAGGAGGATATTGAGGCATAGAGATGTGTAATAACATTTGAGTAACTACAAAGTAGTGCAGCCACCTGGGTGACAGGTATGTTCTTCATCATCAGCCAAGAGATTTATTTCCATTCCTTTGTTAAAGACTTAAAGGAGGAGCTGTGCTGTGATTCACGTTTATTTCTTTAGTTAGTTTTGATGCAGTGGGGCTAGAACTCAGGGCCTCACATTCTTTTTTTTTTTTTTGAAAAGGTGATGAGCAGGAGGGTTACAGTTACATAGGTAAGGCAGTAAGTTCATTTGTTTTTAACCATTATTACCCCATCCCTCTTTGTCTCCCGCTTTTCCCTCTCTATCCCCCCACACACAGTTGCAATGTTCACATCCCACATAGTGTCAAGTGAGTTTCAATGTTGCTTGTTCATCCGTTGTTCTGCTGTTTCTGTGATTCCCTTTCACATATTGCCTTTTCTATTATGCAAAACACGAGATGCAAAAAACTAAGAGACATGAAGAAAGGAAAAAACAACAGAGAAAAAGAACAAACTATGTACAGGGTCTAATGAGACTCTCTAGTTTCCATAAGTTGGAGTGCATGTTAATATGTTTCATTATGTATAGACCTATACACTAAGTACTTAGGTTTGTTCGTTTTGATGGTTATGGGACTTGAACTCAGGGCCTGGGCACTGTCCCTGAGCTTCTCTTGATCAAGGCTAGCACTCTACTGCTTGAGCCACAGCACCACTTCTGGCTTTTTCCATGTATGTGATACTGAGGAATCGAACCCAGGGCTTCATGCATGCGAGGCAGGCACTCTACCACTGAGCCACCTTCCCAGCCCTAAGCACTTGGGTTATTGAGAGCCCCTGTTAAGAAAATCATATACATATTCTAGTTCTGATAAATGAGGGAGATCATGCAACCTGCTTTTCTTTGGGTATGGCTTAATTAACATAACTTTTCCAAGTCCTTCTGTTTCCTTATGGATGGAACAATGTTATTCTCTTTTGTTTTTGTTGGTGGTGGTGGTGGTGGTTGTGTGGCTTGAACTCTAGGCCTGGACACTGTCCCTCAGCTCTTCAGCTCAAAGCTAGTGCTCAACCACTTGAGCCACAGCACCACTTCCAGCTTTTTCTGCTTATGGGGTGCTGAGGACTCGAACTCAGGGCCTCATGCATGCCAGGCAAGCACTCTACCACTGAGCCACCTTCCCAGCCCCAGTGTTATTATTTTTGATGGAAGCATAGAATTCCATTGTGTATATGTATCATATTTTCTTGATCCATTCATCTACTGAGGGTCATTTGGGTTGGTTCCATATCTTGGCTATGCTAAATAACACTGCGATGAACATTGTTCTAATGGTGGCTTTTTAATGTGGCCTTGTTTGTGGTCATTTGGGTAAATCCCAGAAGTGGGATTGCTGGGTCATAAGGGAGCTCTATGTGGAGTCTTTTGAGGAACCTCCACACTGCTTTCCAAAGTGGTTGAACAAGTTTGCATTCCCACCAACAGTGTAGTAGTACATAGCGTTCCCCTTTGGTCACATCCCCACCAGCATCTGTTGTTGTTAGATTTCTTTATTGTAGCCATTCTAACTGGTATAAGGTGGAATCACAATGTTGTTTTGATTTGTATTTCTTTTATAGCCAGAAATGTTGAGCAATTCTTCATGTGTCTCTTGGCTATTCGTATTTCCTCTTCAGAGAGGTCTCTTTTAAGGTCTTTAGCCCACTTTTTAATGGGGTGGTTGTTTCTTGGGGGGTTTGTTTTAGGGGAATTTAATTTCTTGAGCTGTTGGTATATTTTAGATATGAGACCCTTGTCTGTTGCATGGGTGGTGAAGATCTTCTCCCAGTCTGTGGGGTTTCCATATATTTTGCTAGCTATGTCCTTTGTCATGCAGAAGCTCTGCAGTTTAATGCAGTCCCATTTATCCAACCTTTCTTTAGTTTGTTGTGCTTCTGGGTCTTTATTAAGAAAGGTTCGACCTGGGCCAAGGAGCCCTACTGTTTCTCCTATTCCTTCTTGTAATATTTTCAAGGTATCTACGTTTATCTCGAGGTCTTTGATCCATTTAGAGTTGATTCTGGAGCAGGGTGATATATAAGGATCTAACTTTAGTGTTTAACCAATTCTGGCAGCGCAATTTAGTGAAGAGGCTGTTTTTCTTCCATCTTTTTCTTTTCTTTTCTTTTCTTTTTTTTTTTTTTTTTGACAATCATGAGGCTTGAACTCTGGGCCTGGGCGCTGTCCCTCAGCTCTTCAGCTCAAAGCAAGCGCTCTACAACTTGAGCCACAATGCCACTTCCAGTTTTCTAGTGGTTTATTGGAGATAGGAGTCACACGGTCTCTCCTGCCCGGGCTGGCTTTGAACCGCGATCATCAGATCTCAGCCTCCTGATTAGCTAGGGTTAAAGGTGTGAGCCACTGGCGCCTGGCAAGGGCCTCCCATTCTTGCTTAGCTTTTTTCATTCAAGTGGTGCTCCACCATTTGAACCACACTTCCAGTTCTGGCTTTGTTCTGGTCAATTCAAGATTAACCAGTGTCAAAGTCTTTCCTGTCTGGGCAGGATCCTCAGATCTCAGTCTCCTGAGTAGCTAGGATTACAAGTCTGAGCCACCAGCAACCAGTTTGATTCACATTTTTAAAGCACATCATTGGCATCACTTCTGGAAATGGATTTCAGAGGACAAGAGTGGTTGTGAGGGATGATAGGAGACCCACCTTGATAGGAGATCCACCTTGATAGGAGACATATACCTTGTTCCTAGGGAAGTGGGGGTCAACCTGGAGAGAAGTAGATGGGCTGAGATAAATTTCCATATAGGATGTGCATGAAGAGTGGCAACTTTGTAACTGTCAGCTTTCCATATCAGAGATGGTCCTGGGTCCACGCATAAGCAGTTTAATCGCAAAGATAATATATGGACCAGAAATGCTCATGTGAGTTGTTACTGTTCCTCCATTTACAGGAATGTCAATGTCTTATCTAGGCAAAGTTCATGTGCAAAGATGATATGTTCAAGTTGGGGGCCGGTGGTACATGCCTGTAAATCCTAGCAACTCAGGAGGTTGAGATCTGAGGGTTAAGGTTGAAAGCCAGCCCAAACAGGAGGAAAGTGCATAGGACTCTTATCTCCAATTAACCAGCAAAAAGCTGGAAATGGAGCTGTGTCTCAAATGGTAGAGCACCAGCCTTGAGTGAAAAATCTAAGGATCAGAGCCCAAGCCCTGCGTTCAAGCCCCACTACTGGTGTCCACAGATAGAAGTGCTCATGCACACATGCATGTGCATGTGCGTGTGTGTGTGTGTGTGTGTGTGTGTGTGTGTGTGTGCATGTGCACAGAGAGAGAGAGAGAAAAAAAAAGTCACATATCCAGAGAAGTAAAAAAATTCCCCAGGAATTCTTGTTTTTGTTTTTTGTCGTGGGGCCTGAACTCTGGGCCTGGGCACTGTCCCTCAGCTCTTCAGCTCAAGGCTAGCACTCTACCATTTGAGCCACAGCACCACTTCCAGCTTTTTTTCTTTTTGCTTATGTGGTGCTGAGGAATCGAACCCAGGGCCTCTGGCATACAAGGCAGGCGCTCTACCACTGAGCCACCTTCCCAGCCCTCCCCAGGAATTCTTCAAGCTTGGGCATTTTAACCAGGGTTCAGGAACCCTTAGTATATTCAGCCAGGGAATATAAGGCCACACTTCAGGATAAACCTCTGGTAATACTGGATTAAAAAAAAATATATGGGCCGGGCGCCGGTGGCTCACACCTGTAATCCTAGCTACTCAGGAGGCTGAGATCTGAGAATTGCAGTTCAAAGCCAGCCCGGGCAGGAAAGACCACCGTGAGACTCCTATCTCCAATAAACCACTAGAAAACCGGAAGTGGCGCTGTGGCTCAAGTGGTAGAGGGCTAGCCTTGAGCTGAAGAGCTGAGGGACAGCGCCCAGGCCCAGAGTTCAAGGCCCATGACCGACAAAAAAAAAAAAAATGCCTGAGAAGCAATGAGTCAGGCAAGGGCTTTGTGACTTTTTCATACCATGCTCCCAGAATATCCTACATTTGTAGAGCATGTGGGTGGTGACTCTGCTCTGGGCAGGAGGGGGCGCCCTGGGTCTTGGCATACCTGGTTTCAGCACACCTGTGGACCAAGGCACATTGGTTGGGAAACTGAATCCTGAAATGTGAAGTGGTGTTAAGTAGATAATTGTGCTGCATTACCACTTCATAAGCTGCTTTGTTATATTCCAAAACGATTCAATATATAACCTGAAAAATTAAGAAAAATGGGGCTAGGAATATAGCTTAGTAGTAAAGTGCTTGCCTAGCACGCATGAGGCCCTGGGTTCGATTCCTCAGTACCACATAAACAGAAAACGCCGGAAGTGGCGCTGTGGCTCAAGTGGTAGAGCACTAGCCTTGAGCACAGAGAGGCTCAGGACAGTGCCCAGATGATTTCAAGCCCCAGGACCAGCAAAAAAAAAAAAAAAGAATAAATAAATGAGAAAAGTGAGGGAAGGTGGGATTGGGAGGGATGGGTGAGAATATTGAAAGGGGTGACATTGAGCAAGATGCACTGTATTAAAAATGACTTTGGTGAATGGCAACTCCCCTTGTACAAATGCTTACAGATAATAAAAATATTCAAAAAATAAGTTTGGGCTGGCGGGTGCCAGTGGCTCATGTCTGTAATCCTAGCTATTCAGGAGTCTGAGATCTGAGGATTGCGATTCAAAGCCAGCCTGGGCAGGAAAGTCCATGAGACTCTTTTTTTTTTTTTTTTATTTTGAGGGTGGGTCCGGCCGTGGGACCTGAACTCTGGGCCTGGACGCTGTCCCTCAACTCTTCAGCTCAAGGCTAGTGCTCTACCACTTGAGCCACAGCGCCACTTCCAGCTTTTTTTCTTTTTGCTTATGTGGTGCTGAAGAATCCAACCCAGAGCCTCATGCATGCAAGGCAAGCACTCTACCACTAAGCTATTCTTCCCTAAATATGAGTGATGTCAAAATAATAATAATAATAAATACCACAAAGAAGAGGAAGAATTTGCTTTAAAATTGCATAATCTGCTAACAAAAAGTAAACTTAAAATAATTACATTGAAATTTATTTTGCCTTTGTTATGTTTTAATATTGAAAATACCATTGGAGCCAGGTACCAGTGGCTCACACCTATAATCCTAGATATTCAAGAGGCTGAGATCTGAGGATCACGGTTCAAAGCTAGCCTGGGCATGAAACTCCATGAGACTCTTATCTCCAATTAACCACCAGAATACTGGAAGTGGTGCAGTGGCTCAAGCAGTAGAGTGCTCACCTTGAGCTGAAGAGCTGAGGGACAGCTCCCAGGCCCAGAGTTCCAGCCCCATGACCGACAAAAAAAAAAGAAAAGAAAAGAAAAAGAAGGAAATTTTGTAATTTAGAATGCTATCAGGAAAACTTGAATGTGACATTATATTTTATTTTTTAAAAATCAAGGAAGGTTTGACATTGTCCAAAAAGAAATGTACTCTTTACCTGACTTATGTAACTGTAACCCCTCTGAACATCAACTTTATAATATCAATAATCTTTAAAGTCATGTTTAAATACCCATGCACATGTGAAAAAATGTTTCTATTGCAAAGTAGGAAACAAAAGAATTTCCATAGGATGGGTATTGTCAATTATGAATGAAAATATCAGAGAGGCCCTCCCTGAACATTTCCTTCCCAGCAGGAATTCTTTTGACAATGACTTCTGCTTAGGTCTTCCTGTCACTGTTTGTTTTGGTGGGCTTGGGTTTTTTCTGGGGGGAAGAGGAAGATTTTAATGTATTACTGAGGTAAAGAATTATTCTGCTTATTGAAGGGTAAACCAAAGGAGGAGGCTGCAATGCTTGGTAAGAAATGTACGCATTATCCTGCCCATGTAATTGTAACCCCTCTGTACAGTATGTTCACAAATAAAATAAAATTAAATTAAAATAAAATAAAATAAAATTATTTTTAAAAAAAGAATTATTCTGCTTATATTCTTTAAAGATCTTACCTTATATTCCTTTTAAACTCTAATTCCAAGGAACAACTTCTTTTTAATCAGTCCTAGCACTCTACCACTTGAGCCACAGTGCCACTTCCAGCTTTTTCTGTGTATATGGTACTGAGGAATCAAACCCAGGGCTTTATGAATACTAAGCAAGCACTCTACCACTAAGCCACATTCCCAGCCTAAATATTAACATTTTTATGTTATTTCTTTTAATGGTATAATTAATGTGCACATAACCTACATATGCAAAATCAAAGTGTGAATTCACAGTGAAGATCATTTCTGAATGATTTTTAAGGTTGATTTTTCCATTTGCTTCTCACTGTATTTCATTGCTTCATCTTATTTCTGCTATTACAGTTTTCATGTATATATTTTGGTTTTAATTCAGTGAAATATAAAACTATCTTTACTTGGGTAAATAAAATAAAACAATATTTTTTGTTGTGCTATGATGCTGGGGCTTAAACCAAGGGCCTTCTGCATGCTCAGCCAGTGCTCTACTGCTGAATTGCATTACAGTCCCTCAAGACAAATATTTTTAACTGATTTGTTTTTCTTTCAATATTCTATAAGGTTATTTTAAGGATTCAGATGATTTTTAGAAATGCTTAGTATTTACAACTTTTCTTAATTGTATCCTTTGCCCTATAGGGGACCATTTGCCTAAATCTTTGGAAGGATTTTTTATATATGAAGAAGAAGGTTCTGGAGTTCCAGGTTCTAACAGGAAAGGAAACGATGCTATTGTCGTAGAACAATGGACCATCATTGAGGTGAGCTACAGTTACTTGTGTGCTTAGTTTTCCATATTAATCTTCATTGCCTGGCACATGCAGTGTCCTTAAACATGGGTTTGTCCAGTGCCTGGAATCTCATCACAAATGTGTGAGCAAACTTCTTTCCTGTACTTTATGCAGTGTTAAAGACAATATGCTTTGCTCAACATCACCCTGTCTCACAGGATAACAAAATACTTGTCTATACATAGATAACAATAAGTTACCCCCAAATTAGAATTCTAACCCTAAACAAAATCCTCTGGCACTGAGCCTCTCTCTACAAGATGTCTTGAAAACTGGTTGAAACAAAGAGAAAGTGCCGGGCACTGGTGGCTCACGCCTGTAATCCTAGCTACTCAGGAGGCTGAGATCTGAGGATCGCAGTTCAAAGCCAGCCCGAGCAGGAGAGACCGTGAGACTCCTATCTCCAATAAACCACCAGAAAACCGGAAGTGGCGCTGTAGCTCAAGTGGTAGAGTGCTCGCCTTGAGCTGAAGAGCTGAGGGACAACGCCCAGGCCCAGAGTTCAAGCCCCACGACTGACAAAAAAAAAAAAAAAAGAAGGAAGGAAAGATGGAAGGAGAGAAAGGAGGGAGGGAGGGAGGAAGGAAGGAAGGAAGGAAAATTCAGTCATTCAAGTAGTGTTTTATGGTGCTGGGAGTGTGACTTAGTGGTAGAGAGCTTGCCTAGCATGCATGAAGCCCTGGGTTCAATTCCTTAGTACCACATAAACAGACAAAGCCATAAGTGGCTGCTGTGGCTCAAGCAGTAGAGTGCTAGCCTTGAGCAAAAAGACAGTGTATGCCCAAGTCCTGAGCTCAAGCCCCCAGGACTGGACTTTCCTGCCTAGGCTTTGAATTACAATCCTCAGATCTCAGCCTCCTGAGTAGCTAGGATTACAGACGTGAGCCACCAGCTCCTGGCTAACATCCAGCTTTTTTTTTTTATCAAGTTGAGGGCTCACTAACTGGACTGCTTAGAATTTAGGGTGTCCCAATCTCCACTTCCTGAATAGCTGGGATTACAGGTGTGAGCCATGTTGCCTAGCCTCATTCCCTACTCTTCACTTCCCAAACCCAAGACCAGTGTTTTCAAAGATTTGCTCTGTAGACTTCATTGAAATGCAGTTTCTCAGCCCCCACAATTGATCATTTTAGAACAACTGCCCCAAACCAAAGAACACCCGGGATACTCTCCTCTACTCAGTGATCTTAACTTGGCTCAGTGGTTAGAAGGCAGCAAAGGCAGAAAATGAAGCCCTAGGAAACTGCACTTGGTGAAGAGTGAACTCCTTTATCCTTAGTACTTGTGTCACTGCTTGTATTTGCCATCAGACTGTGACTGTGAGCTCTCATGCTTATTCCTGCAGGGCTGTGAGATCAAAACCGACTACGGCCCTCTCCTGCATACTCTGGCTGAATTTGGATGGCTTTTGACAAATGTGATGCCTACACCCATACTGAGACATGACAGGTAATTGTAAAACCTAAATCCATTTCTGAGATAGTTCAATTAAGCCAATGAGGATCGAAAGTTTACACACACACACACACACACATTTTGTTTGATGTCACAGAATCTGGGGAGGACAGATGTTCAGAGAGATGTACAGTTAGGTCTCCGCACCACATATGCAAATATACCTTCACCCCAGTACCCCAGGCTTAGAACAATCAGTAGGGCCGGGCGCCAGTGGCTCATGCCTGTAATTTTAGTTACTTAGGAGGCTGAGATCTGAGGATCTCGGTTCAAAGCCAGCCGGGGCAGGAAAGTCCGTGAGACTCTTTTTTTTTCTTTCTTTTTTTTTTTTATTTAATTTAATTTTATTTGTGAACATACTGTACAGAGGAGTTACAGTTACATGGGCAGGATAATGCGTACATTTCTTACCAAGCATTGCAGCCTCCTCCTTTGTTTACCCTTCACCTCCCTTCCCAGCCTCCCCCCTCCCCCCGTCCGTGAGACTCTTATCTCCAATAAACCACCAGAAAACCAGAAGTGGCACTGTAGCTCAAGGGGTAGAGCACTAGCCTTGAGCTGAAGAGCTGAGGGACAGTGCTCAGGCCCAGAGTTCAAGCCCCACGACCGACCAAAAAAAAAAAAGAAAGAAAGAAAAAGAAAAAACAAAACAACCAGTAGGGCCTGAAGCAGCCAGAAGAAGCAAGTGTGCCTCTACCTCCCCTCCAGTGTGGCAGAGAATTTGAAGTATAGACTCCTTTGCTTTTTCCACTAAAATGTATGCCTTCATTAGAATGAAAATTCCAACATTTCATGAGTACTAACATTGCTCTGTCCTTTTCTCCCTTTTCTACCTTGCCTGGAAAGATAAAAATGGAATTGCCACACCTCTATTTATTTTGGAGAAGCCAATGAATTGGTACATTTACAATGCTTTGCTGTCCCTTCAACCCAGATGTTCCCCTTACCCGGTTTGGCATCCAGTAAATGATTGACTGCCAAAGCTGCCCGGCCTGGGCCAGCAAAGACCTGAACAGGGCAGAACAGCCTTGGCTTTTGGCAGTCACCGTGGTTCCACATTCCAATTGACTGTCCATGACACTAGAAAGCAACTCCTTCCAGGTCTCTCCTGCCCTCTTCCCAGTAGCTCAGCGTCCCCACAGTCTATAAAAAGGCTTTCAAGCAAAGACACCTCCATGGCAGGGAGAGAGCTCCTGAAAAATATTGAGTGAACACACTCAAGCTTCAAGAACCAAACCCAGCCAGTAATCCTAGCTACTCAGGAGGCTGAGATCTGAAGATCATGGTTCAAAGCCAGCCTGGGCAAGAAAATCTGTGAGACTCTCTTATCTCCAACTAAGCACCAAATAAGCTGGAAGTGGAGCTATGGCTAGTGTAGAATGCTAGCCTTGAGCAAAAATTAAAAAAAAAAAAAAGCTCAGGAATGTTGCCAGGGTCCTGAGTTCAAGCCCCAAGACTGGGGAAAAAAAAGAAAAAGAAAGAAAGAAAAAAGGAACCAAAATGGAGTAGGACAAAGTAAGCAAGGTGGTTGATTAATTGGTCAATGCCCCTGCAGCATTCTTTCCCAACCTTTTCTATCTGTGGCAGACCTGTCAAAGTATGTCACAATCCAGAAGTCATTCTCAGCATTGGGTCTTCAGAGCAGGAAATGCACGTATCCTGGAGAGCCTGGAGAGTGGCTCCAGAGTCTGCATTTCCCCTACTCCTCAAATACACTGACACTGCAGAAGCTCTCTAATGAAAAAGAACCCTTAACCTTCCTACCTCTACCCAACCCCCAGCCATTGGTCTATCCCTCATCTCACCCTACTGAATGCTGGTGCATTTGCAGTCCTCATCTCTTTTGTATTTTGGATTGTCATTTGGTCCCATACTGTTAGAATTACAGACTTCCCCACAATGTATGAATTCTGAGCCTTCCTATTCCATTTTCCCCAAGAATTGTATTTATTATTCCCTCCCACTCACTCCAGGCTTCTGCCCTAGGGGGTTCAAGCATTTCCCATGGTGCTCTGATGATTAGACCCTGGGCTCCACAGCAAGCCCAGTAGATACTGGACCACACTGGGTGAGGGAGGAGGACTGGTTTAGGAAGAAGGACAGGGATAAGCTTGAGGCTGGGACTAAAGAGGCCCCGGGTACACTGTGAAGGGACAAGGTGGAGTGGCATGGACTTGTGCTTGGCTTCGTCATCCAACCAGCAAAGGGTCACAGGCTGCACCTAGTGCCTGGGACACTAGCATGAGCAGCAGCTGAGCACTGCATCTGGAGCTTCTGCTCCAGAGGGGCACTGGGATCTCACCACCATTGACTTTTCTGCAACCCAGATCCTCCAGGCATGGTGAATTGCAGAAGTAGAGCTTTTTGTGCCTACCACTGAAGGTTTATGTTTATGTGTAATTATGTGTGTGTGAGAAGAGAGAGAGAGAGAGTGTGTGTGTGTGTGAGTGTGTGTGAGTGTGTGTGTGTGAGTGTGTGTGAGTGTGTGTGTGTGAGTGCGTGCGTGTGTGTGTGAGTGTGTGTGTGTGTGTGTGTGCTGGTACTGAGTCTTAAACTCAGGGACTTGTGTTCTCACTTGGCTTTTTCATTCATTCTGGCACTGTACCACTTGAGCCATATCTTCACGTCCAGATTTTTGCTTTTTGGTTGCAGATAGAGTCTTACAACCTTTCCTCCCCAGGCTGGCTTGAAACTGCAATCCTCAGATCTCAGCCTCTTAAGTAGCTAGGATTACAGGTATAAGCCACCAGCTCCTGGTCTTTCATATGTAATTTGATGGGAAAGGGGTAGTTGTTCATTAAATATTGTTATAGCAGTGAGAATAAGAACACTCTGAACATCTATTATTATGAAACTAGATAAAGTTATGTACAGTCCACATTATAGAAGATTATGAAAGTGAGTTTTTTTTTTTTTTTTTTTTTTTTTCTGATCCTGGGGCTTGAATTCAGGGCCTGGGTGTTATCCCTGAGCTTCTTCGGCTCAAGGCTAGTGCTCTACCATTTGAGCCACAAAGCCACTTCTGGCTTTCTCTGAGTTTACTGAGTTTACTGGCAATAAGAGTCTCATGGAAAAAAAAAAAAAGAATCTGGAGTTTCCTGCCCAGACTGGCTTCCAACGGCAATCCGCAAATCTCAGCCTCCTGAGTAGCTGGGATGACAGATGTGAACCACTGGTTCCCAGCTTGAAAGTGATTTTTCAAAAAAGAACTAGGCCCGTAGTATGTATTCTCATTCTTTGTGTGATAATTGCTGAGGGCTTTTTCCCATATAATTTTTAAATATATAATATTTTAAATATATAATAATTTTTAAATATTTTAGGGAAATAATATATGCTGTTTAGTGTATATATATATTAAAGCTGTATACATATACTATATAGATATACTAAAAAACAATATATACTCTTTAGTATACTAAACAGATGCCTTTGTTTAAACAGATACAGTTGAGGCCAGACAGCAGAATTCCTTGAGACTCTTACCTTGCATTTTGTTGAGGAGAGTCAGGTTTATGTATTGTGTAACATAATATGTTATAGTGTTAAGGACTATTTAGGTAACTTAGTATACAGGTTCCACAGAAGTATTAAGAAGAAGAGAGATTTTAGATGTCAAAGAAGCAGCATCTTCTGATCCTAAGATTTGAGAAAGCACTACTACGCAGCAGATCCTTGTTTGAGATTCCTGTTCCTGATCCTGGCTAGACTAGAGTAGAACATGTATCTGAATGGCAGTTATTCTTATGCAACAAATCACACCATAATCCACAGCTTCTACCCTACTTTCGTATACCAGGGGTTGCATAATATTGCTGTTTTCATTTCTTCACACTTTGTGATTTGGATCCTTCTAAGTTTTTGCAACACAGGTGATATTTGTTAGTCATCTCTCATCACTATGACAATGTACCTAGGAAAGCAACTTATGTGAAGAAAGATTTCTTTGGGGCCACAGTTCCAGCAGTTTCAGTCCGTGGTCGCTTGGCCCGCTTGCTGTGGGCTGGTGTTGACCAGAGTATTATGGCGGGGAGTATGTGGTGAAGCAAAGCTGCTCCCTGCCTCATTTCTGTGGAGGGAGCATGCAGTGAGTGAGAGAGGAGGGGTCCAGAGGCAAGACATACCCTTCAGAGCGCTGCCCCAGGACCAACTCCCTCCGCCTTCCTAACAACCTGTTCACCTGTGAACGTACCAATATGTTAACACATTAACGAAGCGGGCACTCTCCTGATCTAATCACCTCATGATAGCACTTCCAGCTGAGTAGATGTTCAGAGTGAGCTTATTCTCACTGCTACAACAATATTTAATGAGCAACTGCCCCTTTCCCATCAAATTACATATGAAAGACCAGGAGCTGGTGGCTTATACCTGTAATCCTAGCTACTTAAAAGGCTAGATCTGAGGATTGCAGTTTGAAGCCAGCCTGGGGAGGAAAGGTTGTAAGACTCTTTATCTGCAACCAAAAAGCAAAAATCTGGACATGAAGATATGGCTCAAGTGGTACAGTGCCAGAATGAATGAAAAAGCCAAGTGAGAACACAAGTCCCTGAGTTTAAGACTCAGTACCAGCACACACACACACACACACACACTCACACACACACACACACACACACACACACACACACACACACACTGTCCTTTTAGGGGGACACTTCACATTTAAGCCACCACAAATGAAAAATGAAGATAGAGTTTTCTTGTTCTTATCTCCTAATGAGGATTCTTGGTTGAAAACAAAACAAAACCTATTTTATCTTCTGCTTTTTTCATTCTTCTTGAAATATGCTGTTCATGTAACAACTACATGCTAGACTTCATTGCTTCCAGGATATGCACAAGGAGAGTAACCTGTCAGCCACACCATCTTTAATTATGAAGGAAAATTATGTATGATTGATCTTGGTCAAAGTAGAGGATAGAAAGTAGAGCTTCTTAGCTCTAAAACTAGAATAGGCAGTGGGACTTCAGGCACATCACTATATCTCTTA